CAAGCCTCATCCAGCCTGGCCTTGAACACTTCCAGGGATGGGGCATCCGCAGCTTCTCTGGGCAACCTGTTCCAGTGCTTCACCACCCTCTCCAGGAAGAATTTCTTCCTGATACCTAATCTAAACCTCCCTGTTTTCAATTTGTACCCGTTCCCCCTTGTCCTGTCACTACAGGCCCTTTTAAAAAGGCCCCCCCAGCTTCCTTGTAGCCCCTTCAGGCACTGGAAGGTGCTATAAGGTCTCCCCGGAGCCTTCTCTTCTCCAGGCTGAACAAGCCCACCTCTCTCAGCCTGTCCCCACAGCAGAGGTGCTCCAGCCATCGGAGCATCTCCGTGGCCTCCTCTGGACTCGCTGAAACAAGCGATTGAACTCATCAGAGCTGGAGCTGGAGCCTCCCCTCGTTCTTTAAATATTCAGCACAAGCACATCTTTACATCACCCCGACTGAGGTTGGGTCTTTTGGCCCAGGAGCTCCGGTTGCTGGTGGTGGAGGAGAGCCAGGGAGAAGGCTGGGGAGTGGGAAAAGTCCCTGTGGAGCTGGGAGGGCACTGGGGCGGGGGTCTGCTGGAAAAAAAAGTCAGTAGAGGCAGAGGGAGAACAGAGGGGAAACAGGGGACGGTCAAACAGGGGTTTCAGGCTGAGACGAGGTGGAGAAGGTGCCTGGCTGGGAATGATTTTGTGCTTTCAGCAGTTTTGAGAAGACAACCCGGATGGAGACAGAGAAAAGCCAGTGGGGACAGTTTGCCCAGTTAATTCCAAGATAAAAAGGGCAGGAGGGACATCCCCAGCGGGACAGGAGTGGGTAATAGCAATCAATAATGATTACAGGGTGAACTGCTGGGAGGTGTTCATCTTCAGCACCTCGACTTCAGAGGTGGCAATCGCCCGTGATCCGTAGGCAGGAGCTACCTGGAAGAAGCACGACTTCTAGAAATTATAGTTAAAAGCAAATATTTTGGCCTCCTGCTTCCTTTCTGCCCCCCAAACTCTTGGCTATTACTGGATCCCCTGGGAAGCTAGAAGCATGTTGTTGCTGGGACAACTCACCAGTGTATATGCTTATAATTCTCTTTATTAAAATCTTTCTTTTTAGGAAACACAAATTGAAACACTTTGCAATCAGTTACACAGATCAGTTAATACTGGTGACGGTTCCTACATCATGAAACAAGTACTAACAAATTCCAACTGTTTACAAGCCAAAACTTAAATTAACAAGATTATATAAGCTCAATAAATAGTACATCTGGTCCAGTTCAAGTATAATTCAACAAATCACAGCCTTAATCGTTAGAGAATAGAAAAACCCTGAATATAACCAGCCTAACACTAATTTAGTGTTAAAGCCAATATGAAACTTTGTCTAACTTTATGGGGCAAACGTTAATTCTTTTACAGTTGACTTCAAGGAAAGCAAATTGCAGATTGACATTAAAGACTATTTGAGATCAATACAGGTTTCACAAAGATGAAAAACGAAGTCCCTGTTCGGAAAGTGCCATCTTTGGTTGAGATGTGTTGAAATGGTTTGAATATATGAAGGAAGCTCCTTTTTAAATATCAGTATTTGTTTGGCTAGACCTGAGCCCGCTTTGTGCTATATATATAGATAGGTATATGTATTAATAAACAGCGTGGATTATAGTGATGATGGATTATGCCAACTAAAAAAAAAAAAGTCAGTATTTTAAATGTAATAAACCCAAAGAAACAACACATTTTTACACCAGCTGAGGAAGGTAGGTGGCTGCCTACGGTGGCCGCCTTCCCCAGCAGAATAGGTAGTAGAGAGAAGGTGAGGAGCTGAGTGCCTGTCAGCATTGCAGGATGGCCCGTTGGAGAGGGAGGGAGATCACGTCTGGGCTCTCAAAGTGCATCAGGCTGAAAACTGATCGCAGGGATCGTCGGGAGCTAGCTGAGATGTGGGATCGCTTTTAACGGCTTTCAAGCGTTGGGTTTTAGGGGGAGAAAGGACCTTCTCGGGAGGGGAGCTGCCCATCCGGCCACTCCCAGGGTTTTGCAGGTGGCTGCTGCTGTGCCGGGCCTCAGGTCAAAGGGCCGGGGTGTCAACAGCCCCTGTGAATGCCTGGGGCTGGTCGCACCCGAGGGGCTGGCACCCCACCGCCATCACCGGGGTCGTCACGGAGAGAAAGCTCGGAGAGAAGAGAAGAGAAGCTGCCTGGAGCCTCCTCTTTCCTCGGTGGCAAGCAAGGGCCTGTTCCGGGACCCAAACGAGGGGCCTGCAGCCAGGACAGCTCCCGGTGGGCCCTGGGTGAGACTCCAGCTTTTGGAGCCCTGGATGGAGGCTGGCACTGAAGGGATCGGGGATGGGAGGATACCGAGGCCCGCTCTCTCACGAAGGGATTTTGTGTGTCTAAAGCAACTGGTCAGGACAAACAAAGGAGGTCAAATATGCGAGCTGGGAATAATGGGAGTGAACCCGGTTCAGAACCAGAGGAGGGGGAAAGTAGTTTGAATCATCTCCCGTAAATCCAAAAATAAGCCCCTGGGTAAACACTAATTTTAATTATTCTTCTGCTGCCAGTCAAGATCTCCGGGTTACCTACCGCTCTCCCTGCCTGCCTGTATCCACCTGTTGCCTGTTTTTGGAAAGTCTGATTTAAAGCTCTTTGGCCTGGGAAAGCCTTTGTTGTGGATTTGTGCCGTGCCTATAATAAAGGCAGTGGACCCATCACTTCTACTGCAGTACGAACAAAGGATAATGACAGTGATACTTTTCTCGTTTGAGGTTACCTGGGGATAAAGTTGCTGGAGGCGTATGACTTTGATATACAGTCAGCTATGTCTCACATCCAATTAAGCTTTAACCACATGGTCTAACAAGCTCCCATTAGGCCGGTGAGAGCCCCAGCTTGATAGCAGGGTTAGCATCAAAGACGCGATGCTTGCATTCGGAGTGATTTCCTTCCCTTGTGCTCAGGTCGTGCCGAAGGGCGTGAGGAGAACCTCATATTCAGATGATACACGGCCAGCTTGGGAGCTGTGCTTGGAAGGCGATTGCGCCACCTCTACTGCCGTTTTCATAATCCTACAGCCTGCAATACAGGCTCTCACCCTAACAGCCCTGTGCTCAAACTCCACTGCAGCGTGAAAAACAGTCAAAGAAAAACCTGACCTTTGCAGGAAAAATACCTGGTTTGCAATATTATTGAAAGAAACAAACAAACAAGCTGTTTTAAATGACTGATGGACCCAAATCTTAATGTCCTTCAAGTCTGGGCAAAGGAGGATTTAGGCTGTAATGTGTTTCATTTCCCCTTGTCTTTTGGACAGGCCCTGTCTGAGTGCGAGATGCAAAGAATCCCTCTGCTTGCGAGAAGCAGGAATTCCAAATATGAAACCTGAATCCACCTCTGGTGAAAACAAGTGGAAAGCACAGGCCATGAAATGGAACAGGGCTTCAGGCAGCAACACCAGGCACCTCTGGGACACGCTGCCTGGCTGCAGGGTACTGCGGAGAGCAAGCACGGCTGCTGGCGCGGGCAGCAATGGAACGAATACTTTGGCGGAGGCAGTTTGGGCAATTTAGCCGCTCTGCAAGATCTGGTGACATCCATGTTGTCCTTAGGGATGGCTAGAACCTTCTGGGAAACTACCTCCTCTGCACGAGATCTGAAGAGGACATCCAGCACCAGAGATTTTTTACAGAACATATCGTGATGAATATTAGAGTCAGTCAAAGAGTGGAAATATGCCTGCAAATCCCCATCCGTCTAGGTTGCGTAGGGCGTTTTATAAAAGCGTAACTCCGGGATCGGTTCTGGCAGTGGTTTGCAGACGTATTCACTTTACTACACAAAGCCCTATTGAAACGAACCAGAAACTTGCACGGTGCGTTTCAAAGGGACTCTGCAAAATACTAAGCAACAACTGTGCAGAAACAATAGCTCGTAATAATGCCAGAGCTGCTGGTGCATCCTGTGTTCTCAGTGCAGCCCTCTGTGAGCCATCAGCGGTCGTATTCGCCTTCAAAAACTCAGGGAAATAAAATACAAAAACAATATTAAAAGTCTGGCATCCTTCCATGAAAATCAGGAAAATTCAACGTTGCCAAGCTGAGGAAAAGCAGGCTTGAAAGGAAACAAAAAGACCCCAAAAGGCAAGGATCTTGAATAAAATGTCTGTAGGAGACATGGTCCGAACGCGTGGCACTTTAAAAAGCCCCTTGTGCGAGTTTCAAGTCTGTAAGACTCAAAGTTGGCACCCTTAAGAATTATCAAAAAGAAGCGTTTCAAACGCAGCGGTACCTGGAGAACTTCCTGATCGCCCCATGGAAGATGCAGGAAACCAGAGCGGGCGAGCAGCCAGCACGTGCGTGCCTGGCTGGCCGCGCTGGCTTCAGGCCGTAGGTCCCTGGGACAGACCGTGGCTCCCTCCGCCTTCGTACGGCACAGTCCGTGTACGGTTGGCGCTCGGCGACACAAGCACGTCATCATTTCCCCGAGCCCTAAGACACGCGGAGGCGGATGCTGATGGGGTTTGTGTTATGCCATCTCCTGACTCGTTCTAGCACAATGGCTTCAGATGTCCTAGGCAAATCCTACGTCTCACCGGGCCCACGAGTGAAATGGCTGAAGGTATTTTGAGCAACATTAAAGCCTATTTATAGTCACATCTCCCTTCCTTCCAGCGTCCACTGGAGGATGCCGAGTGCTTCTAAATGCTCCGCCTGACCTGATGTGTCACATCAGAATTAAAACTTCAAGAATCCCTGAGAATTCTGATTTAATCTAGGAAACCACTCCCAGCACGCAGAGTGTGAGAAAGAATTGCTCCACTTCTTACAGATATGCCAGCATTGCTTCACCGTGGGAAACAGTTTCAGGCATTTTGGTTTTTAATGGCACTCTGGGCATAGATGCATGGAACATGCTCTTTATTTCCCCTCCTCTGTGCAGTGCAAATTGACAGTTGTATCATAGAAATAAAAAAATAAGGTATCAGCATTCACTCGTTACAGCTCTTCCAGTCCATCCGCATCATAGTTTCTTCTTTGCAAAGTGAGGAACAATGCCAGTGTCATCCTGAGGCAGAGGGCTGCCTTCTTCCCTCATTTTCAGACTCTCCTCTGCAAGCTGCGACAGGTACTTCTGCAATCACATCAAAAACACAGCGTCGTTACCAAAACGGAAAGTATCCGGCATGGGATGCTTTGCACCTTCTCCGAGCTCTTACACTCTCCCAGCATCTCAAACGGGAAGAAAACGCACAGAAACCCCAGTTTCCAAGCCAGGAAATAGAGCTCTGTCAGGCAAACTACCTTAATGCCTGGAGAGCCTCAAAAGTTCAGTGACGTCCCGTGTGCCACACGGGGAACTGGTGGCAGAACCAGGAGGACCATGACTCCCCTCCAGCCTGCGAGGCCGGGCCTCACCTCTTCTCCTTGCACACTCTCCACCCCCGTGCCGCTCGGGCAGGAGCTAACTCCGCAGGTCACTGAGCTGTGCCACCGTAACGGCGGTGTGTCGGAAAGCGGGTGCAGCGCCCGACTCACAACTTAAAGCACATACATTACATTTTCAGCGCGTCCGGTTCGGAGATTTCACACAAGAACGTTTGTTTTAAGGGCCTAATCAAATTCAGTAATAATTAACACAGCTAAGCAGTCTGGCCAGAGTATTTCCACCTGCTGTGTTTTTCCAAGATAGAGACTTTCAGTGCTTTAAGGGATTTAAGGCACGGCCGGCGGGGCCTCCAGCTTTCTGGCAGCGTTCTGAGCTGGCAGGGACACACACAGAATGGAAGACAAACTGGTGCGGGTCTGAAAATGGTGCTCCAAGTATTTATTCAAGGTCAAAAAACCTAGAAATGGATGGAAAAAAGCTTCTTCAGGAGCAGCTAGTCTAGAGAGACACACGGGAAATTCCCAATTAGTAATGTGGGGATGTTCTTGTTGATCACTTACACACACGCCACACGTAAGAGTAACTGACCTGCATGTTACTAGTCCCATAAAGCTCTCTTTTCTAGCCGATTATTCATCCTGATCTGTTTTGGAAAGACTGTCTCATGATGTCACTGCAAAATTTTACCTACTTGCAGGATTCCCCCCGAGTACAGTTTACTCACTGGCATCCGTTGGCAAGAGGTGAAATAAGAAAGGGGTGTCAGAAAACCGAGGGCTGTGTTAGGACTGCCGGGCTGTCTCCGGTAAACACAAGTTTTGGGTGTGAGAGGGATGTCTGAAAGGGACTCCGTGATGGTGACGGGTGGCCATACCTGTGACAAAGTGACGACTGCGCCCCTGGTACTCTGCATGTAGAGACTGGGCTGTGAAAATGACACAACTCTTCGATCTTGGTCCCTGGGTACAAAATTCCACGTGGCAGGAAGCCAGAGTAAAGGTGACAGTGCCAACATACAGAGGTAGAGGGTCTGTAAGGGCTGGGAGAAGTGATCTGTACACCGTGGACGGTAATAAATCACTAATGCTCCTCACTGGATCAGATAAACCATCCATTTTTTAATGATTACCCACCAAAATAAGAATGAGGTTTATCCACCACCTTGAGCTGACGTCAGCTATCACAACTAGCACAAACACCAGTTTTGAACTTCACCGACCAGGCATTCAGATTTATTTACAGCAAAATGGCAGTCAAGGATAAAACAGTTTTTAATTTAAGTGCAGGTTTCGGTGAATAGTGCATAAAGCCAGCGGAAAACGGGCTAAAATGCTGCACCAAGTTGCCAAGGTAGCGTGGACCAGACGAATCTGACAGCTTTTTGTGGTGGTGTTGGGAGGGATGGCCAAATGATGGATTTTTTTGGGCAAGGAAAATGCAGTGGATCTGTAAACATAAATACCACCTGGGCAAATAATCTATTAAGCTGAAGAGAATGGAAAGTTACAAAAAGTCTGCAAAGCTGACAAAGAAACTGTTGATTTTTTTTCAGTGATGGCTGTTCCTCAAGGAGCACCATACGCAGATGAAGCTGAGCGTTTTACTTCAGGACAAAATCCTCATCATCTGAGCAAGGCTTGGGGAAGAAAACTGGTAAACAAAGTGTTTAGTTTTGCCTCTGACTCCAAACACTCGACATGCATTTTGGATGTGGCTCCAAGGAGAAGGACGACAGGTAGCACACCGGCCGTAAAAGACCTGTAGCCACGAGAGCACCAGGACAAGGTCACCGTCACTGGACAGGGGTATGTGCTGCGTGGGGCAGACGACAGAAAGCCACCCCGCAGCAGCCATGCCGGCGCTTCACACGCAGGAACAGCATGTGAAGTGAGGCCCATAGTCCTGGTGAGCCACGAGAGCACCAGGACAAGGTCACCGTCACTGGACAGGGGTATGTGCTGCGTGGGGCAGATGACAGAAAGCCACCCCGCAGCAGCCGTGCCGGAGCTTCACACGCAGGAACAGCATAGGTCCTGGTGCTGGTGGATGCACTCGCTGAGCTGCGGCACCATGGGGGGACGCTGCCATTTCTTGCAGAGTGCATCAATAAGCATGATTGCAACTGAAAGTGTTGCTGTAAGGCAGAGCAATAATGTAAAATTTGCTGAGTTTCCATTTGAGTGGGCAAGTGGATGAGGCATTTACACCCTCCCTCTGGTAAGATAAGGGGTAAGGCTCGACAGAACAATCTGTTTTCATCACCGTATTTGACAGATTTCATTTTAACGGCTTTTGTGGTCTTTGTTCTATCTCAAGTCAGTGTTAGATATCTACCACAGTACTCACGGCAAGGGTCTTAATGGGGAGCAAACAAAGTGTTTTTCACACTGACTGGGTTTTACTTGGATCTTCTTTCCTACCACTTTAAGAAGATAACTTAGAAAAGGAAAAAAAATCACTCTTCTTCCCCTGGGGCCAGTTGCTAGGGGCTGGGACCGGAGTCACAATCTCTGGTTCAGCGTGAGTTCCTTCGGGACAGACTGGCATGGGATATGCAGCCTGCACTGAGTGGTGGCACCTTTCGTGAATCCCTCTGGATTCTCTCGTACGAAGCAAAGACATGCAAACTGGACGCCTGTTTTTCAGGCTTCCACTTGGAGGATCCATTACTAGCAAGCACCACCGCTCTGCTGGCACAGTCTCGGAAAGCCAGAGGCCTTTGTATGATTACAGCTACGTAACTTCAGGGAAGTCAGGAAGACAATTCCCCCAGAGAAATGATTTGACTCGGAGTGTCGCTAGAAAAGCCAACGAGCCAGCTAGGGACGGAGCGCTATCACTTGAAGGGGAGCAGAGCTCCAGCATCTGCTATGGGCAGAGGGAAGGAACGGGGAAAGAAGGAGCAGCTTTGCTTTGCTCCCTCATGGCCTGGGCCAGAAGCAGGCGAAGGCCATAGGTGTCTTCTGCAGTGTGCACCCCCGCACAGGCAGGGGCTGGAGATGAGAGGCCGGTGGCCTCCCTTGCCGAGTCCTCAGCACGGGGCAGTTCATGCCCATGCTGCCACGGCCGATGCCATCAACTCTGCCTCTGAGAAGTGGCAAAGGCGGGGTCATCTGATGGATCTGCAAGCACCCGCGGTCTCTGGGTGCTGTTATCAAGTGCTGATACGCTTCTGGTATATTCTTACGGAAACCCTACAAGTAATTACACGTTTCTGCATATCCCTACAGAAATTATCCAGTCTGACCCGCCGTGCTGTGCTGTAGCACAGGGAGGTGATTCCAGCGGGTCACAGGAAATGCCTTGGAGAGGCTGTGCGTCACAAAGCACTGCGTGCTGAAACACGCTGCAGAAATACATGCAAATGCAAAAATAAGCCTGGCAGCGTTATGAAACAAGCAGCGTGCTTAGTGCTCCTGAAATGGAGAAATAAAGAAAAGCTGCTGCTAGGCTCGCTCCCAGTGATAGAAACATCTGGGACCCTCAAGAACAGGGAATGAAGGATCTGAGTTGCATCCTGTGCTAGTGACAAAGACTAAACGTAGGTAAAAAGATCAAATTATAACCTGGCCCCATTTTATTTGTCATCCAGAAGTTGATATCAAGGATCTGGGAGTGAGAAATTAGTGTGATAACATCTGGAACTACTGAAAAATTTAGCTTACCTAAATTTCGCTTCATCCGAGTTCTACCCACAGAATAAGAACTAATTTTTTAAAGCAACATCTATTTTTTATAGCACAACCCGCCCATGGGCTAGTCATTAGCTAGCTTCAAGCGTGTTTTTACCTGAAGATTTCTGTAGTGAACGGTACTTCTGCAGTGACTTGTCTTTGCCGTCTCTTCATTTGTGTAGAAGAGTCCACAGAGCTTGCAGTAAAACCCAGTTCTCGGCACCACAAATTCCACGCCTATTGAGAAATTCTGAATTACATTAAAATGTCAGTTGAAACCCTTCCCCTCCACAACAAACTTGTTTTCAAAGAAAAAAAGTTGCTGTTTAGTAAAATGGCATAGATATGAAGGCTGAATTCTAGATTAACTTCTCTGATTTCCCTAATGTTGCAATACTGAGCTGCAGTTTGAAACCCTCTGCATTGCAAATGCACCTTCCACTTCTCTCTTAGATATTATACATATTTAAAAATGTACCTTCTCGCGCATAATATTGACTGGAAGCTTCGCTCTGTAACCGCAAGGGCTAGACTAGCAATAGCACTTATTAGCAGTAAATTCACGCTTAAATTACACACACTGCTCTTTAGGTTGTACTTCTTCCAGGTGTTTTAGTCATGCTCCGTGCTTCCACACTGAAACCTATACTTTTGCTTATAGTGAAAGTGGAATCAATACTTTTCTGACAAAGACTTTTAAATTACAAAGTATTTTTCAGATACGTTTCATATACAGTGTGAGGGAGCTTCCTTCTTCCCATCAGCGACATTAACAGCTGGCTTGTGCCATTCATCTGGAATGAATTTAGCGATGATCGATAGCCACAAGCCCGTTTCTGCCAACAGCTACTCCTGTACTCTACAGCCCTGCTGCTCCACTGCCTCACATCTCTTCTGGAGAACAGAGCGAGTAGCCTCCAAGTGACATCTTGTTGCAAGCTCTAGGTATTGCAGTGGGCGGCATGGCAGGCCGAGGGCAGCCTGGGCATCCCAACCTACCCAGGGGAATGCTGAGCTCGGTGAAGACATCCTCTTGTTCCCAGGCTGGCGGAGAGTGCCGTCTTTTAGATTCTACCTCCGGGTATTCCAGAGACCTCATTTCCAGGTACCTAGAATTTGCTTAACAAATGAATAAATGGATTGAATGAAAGCAGTTAGTTAGTTTAAGGAGCCGTTTGTAAACTTCTTGGGAACACTTGCTGGGTGGATCTATAAATGAAGTAAATTTGGGGAAAAAATGATTTTCCATTCAAATCGTAGGCCTGCTCAACGCAGCTCCAACAGGTACTATTTCTCCCAGTAAATCATTTTTCTATTTCTAATCTCACGTTCAGTATGGTTTTTCTTTTCATATCTGAACCATCTGAACAGATGTTATACGTGCCGCTGGCAGAAGCACGGTGAGAGCGCGGCTCCGCGCCCACTGCTTGTGGCACTGCTGACCACCGGTGGAGCTGGGCTAACGCAGGGCCTGCTGAGAAAGGGGGTGGGGGGAGCAGGACCTGCTGAGGGCAGACCCCCAAACTGCAGAAGGGCAGATCCCCAAACTGCAGAAGGAGCTGCCTGGGTGGAGCAAACCTTCCTCTGATAGGAGCCCAGCAGCACCACTGTCGTCTTCTCTCCCTGGGGCCACTCCTGTCATAAAATCATCGAATCACAGAATGGTTTAGGTTGGGAGGGACCTTAAAGACCACCTAGTTCATCTTCCCCCATCCCCAGCTCTCCAAGGGGAGAGGAGGAGAGTTTCTGCCTATGGCTCTTGGCCACCTGAAGGTTTTGTTTCCTAGCCAGTAGGGATGGGATGGTTGGTCCCTGCTGACCGATATCAATGGACACAGGCAGGAGGTTCAGGATGTGGAAAAGAGGGGATTGGTTTGCTGAGGCAGATAAAGCCAGGCAAAAGAACAGATGCTCTCCCTTCCCAACATGCAAATCGTTTTTATTTAAAAAAAAAAAAAGAGAAATTTGTTATCACAGAGCAACAGAATTACAGATAAACTGGTCTGATTCCTATTCTTCAGTTCTTACATCAAAGAACTAGTTCCCTTACCCTGACAAAATTTCTATTGCAAATTTCACCCAGATAAGGGATCTATTTTGTCATAAAACAAATATATTTTTGCCCAAACCAAACCCTTCCTGCCTTTCAAGTCTGTAGTTCAAAGATCTGCAATTTCTGGCTATGAGAATGAATTTTTCTTCATTGTTTAAAATATCTCTATTACATGATTAAAAAAAAAAGAATATAAAATCCTGACTGGTCGGCTTTCAAGTTAACTTTAAGCCCATCCCAGCTTTCCAAATCTGCAGCAGAGATTCTGGAAAACCCGCAAGCTTCAGTTAGCTCTTCTTAAGACACCCAGGGCCTTTGTGGCAACTTACGTCCCACTTTGGCTGATTTCTGGGCTTCTGAACTGGCAGCTGCGTTTGCAGAGAGCCTAGAGCCTTGCTCTGAAGATCTCAGATATCAAGTCCGTGGCAGAAACCTGGGAAGCACAAGGTCCCTTGGAGCTTCCAGGCTCCTTGCTGGCAAGTTGGAAGCTGAGATGCTGAAAACACAGAAGTAGCTATGCTGTTGGGACACCCAACTCTCTATCAGCTGGCTGCCCGTAAAGCAGGCAGCCCAGGGCGCCAGACTTGCCATCCCCAGTCCCAGGGAGTTTGCATGGCAGCATTCTCTCCAAACATGCAAAGCCTGGCCAGGTGTCTTCAGGCCAAACTATTGAAAACTGAACGAGTTTCCAACCTGCCCTGGAGGAATAAGTTAGTTCAGAAATCAGACATTCACATTAAATGTTTCAGCATTTTCTGGTGGAAAAAATCTTCCACCAACTTCTGTTCACAACCCCTTCTCCCTCGCACGGGGCTGGTAGCAACAAAACAGAGCGGTCCTGGCCAACACGGTCCAGGTTGGTTCCCACTCTACCTCATTATACGCAGCCCATTCGCTCAAGTGTCATTTGTAAGTGTGACGAGGAACTGAACTGACTTTCAGACACTCAAGATCCCTTCTTTCCTGACAGATGAAACATTAATAGGCAGCTGTGATTACATTTCTCAGCATTCTCTCGCAGCATATCCTATGGGGTATGTTAAAGGCAGCACGCGGTAGATAACGGGAGATGATAAGGCAAGCCCTGACAGAAGGCGCACGTTTGCGTCAACGGGGACTGAGAACTGACGACCTACGGATGATTTCTACGTTCCTAACGCTTCAGTACAGTGTGTAAGAATACCCACCTTGTCCAGGAGCCAGCCAGACATTACAGATACTTTTCTATTGACCTTCAGAGACTGTCACTCATTTCATTGACAATTCAAAATAAATTTAGCAAGGCACTGAAGGAGTCCAGCTAAACTCATGTGAACCTTGACATGACAATTATAGCAGCTTATGCCTTTCAGAAAGCTTGCAAGCTGCTTATCATATTTCCTTTACACTATTCAGCTAAGAGCCTCTAATGGTTTAGCTTGGCGAAAGGCACTGGGGTTCTTTTACTGAGCCGCTCCAAGGACAAGCCTTGGTACTATTAGCAACATTTATTCTTGTTAGCAATAAATTTCAGTCTACTGTCAGAGAAAACATGCAAGGCGCTCTGCAGGCCGAAAAGAAAAAAATCAGTAGTTACCCTTGGCCTCTGGACACTCTTGGCTTCCGTGTCTTGTTTCTTCACTCGCGTTTTTAACAAGCATTTCCATAGCTCCTCTGCTCTCAGCTCCTTGTGATCCCATCTGTTTGTAATCATCTATAAATGTATCAGGGAGCTGGAGAGTCTCTTCTTTCAGATGAGCAGAAGGTATATGGTGATCTTCGGGCTCTAAACGAGTGTCAGAGCTCTTATCAATTTTTTCTTCCTTCTGCTGGGGATCAGACTCCTTAGCAGATTGGTCTTCTTGCAATTCCTCTGGCTTCCGCTCAGGGTCCAGATTTAGGCTTGATGCTTCAGTTACAGCATCATCATTATCCTCCTCCTCCTCCTCATCCTGACAACCGCTAGAAGCTACGCTGCCCTTTGCTGATCTGAAGTTTGTTTCCAAAGCTTTGTGGGCAAATTTGTCTTCACTCCTGGTTAAGTGGCTGTGATCATTTTTCAGTTCCAGCATGGTTGACATGCACGGACACATTTCTGCAGCAGCTTTATTTTTTTGATCAACTGGTACTATTTCTTCAAGCTCAGTAATATCAGGCTCCATAATTAAATCATCTTCTCCCACTTCATCTACCGTCACTAATTCCTCCATGTTAGCAGGATACCAGGTCTCGCCTTCTATCTCACTTCCACTCTCCCAGTCACGGTCCTGTCACAAAGATGTAAAACACTTGAGAGATCAGCGATTATCGATCACCACTGTTAAAAACGTGGGCTTTGAACATCAGGAAGAACTTTGATCTGGCCATGCCTAACCCCTCTTGTATTTTAGTTTCAAAGAACGTTATGCCTTGGTGTTGTGATTTTAAAGCTTGTGCACAAGGACAAGCAAATCTCGTTTTAATTATCACAAAAAACTTCACTCTGTGGAGGTTCTGTAACTGCCTCGGGGATTACAGTCCCTCCAGTCTCCTGCTTCTTACTTTTCTGTAAGCAGTAGAACAGGGCACAACCTGTTATGCTTTATTATGCAACTGATGCTACTACGTGGAGCCCAAGGAGATGAACCTTTCCCCCCACCTCCATCCCAGGGTGGCGAGGCAGCACAATGAGAAGGTACTGAACCCCAGTCTAGCCACTGTGGCTTTCCCTCTGCTGGACTAAGTCCTTTAAATTCCTACGGTGACTGAGAAAACGTGGCTACATTCTGCAGGCACTGCCTTCCACCAGCAAGAGCCCTCTGCCAGGGACTGTGTTGGTAGAGGCTGGCCTGGGCCTTCAGAAAAAACATTTTTACAGTTACACTCCAAGGCACATAATCTGAAATGCCTCATACATGCAGTTACAGACACAGGACTCGGGCACTAATGTTGGACTCCAGAAGTATGAGAATTATAAGGTATACATTACTTTTAAGACACACTTGCAGCTTAGATTTCAACTCCCAGACTCATCGTGTCCACATAATCTATTAATAATCTGTATTCTCCTGTTTGGCTATTCCCACACTTCCCCTCCTAGAATCCTAAAACAGCATGAAAACCCTGGGAGTTGACACTGTTCTTGCCAGGAGATCAGTTTTCTGCAGCAGTAGATATCAATAGCTTCCATATCTGACCATCAACCCATGACCCTACAGATATGAAGCTGGAGGCATTCCAAGGACATTGCTGTCCCCGACTGCGACGCTGCAGGAGGGGAGCTGTAAAGACATGATTTAATTAAAACCAGAAACAATCAGAAGAGGCTACTATCTGTAGTCCATCTCAGGCCAATGTTCTGAAAAGTTCTCATCATTAGTCCCCTCCTTCTCGGCTAAGCGACCGCATCGCCTATTTTTGGGCAGGGCTCACGAAGTTACGCGCTTCGCTGGGGCATACGTTACGCACGGTTGCCAGTGCCAAGGGCTGTGCATGCGAAGCAATGTCCATGGGCAAAGAGCAACTAAAAAAAGAGTGCTGGAGACTTCAGGAAAAGCTATCCCTTAAAGCAGAGGTCAAGATAAGGCAAGTTAATTTAGACAACCCCCTCCTATAATCCCTTTACAAACCTTTCTGTGGGGATTTAATATTTCAGTTGGGAGAATGTGCTACCAAACCTGCGTTTTCACTCATTTTGTCGTGGAAGCTGCACCAACAACACGTCACCAACCTTCTCTTTTCTTGCGTTTTCCGGAATCTCTCCAGGTTCTTGTTTATTAGCTGAAGGTGAGCTTTTCTCTGGAACTTGCTCCTCTTTCCCAAGCTAAAATAAACACAACATATACACGTATAGCAACACACAGTGGTGTTCCAGTGTGTTTCTATTCTGAGTTTAGGGAAGCAAAGTCACTCACAAGGTCACATTCTTTATTTCTAAAGTTTGTGTGAGTCAACTAGGCTGCGGGAAAAGACCCAAGGATTGGATTCCATTAGCAAAGCTGCACAAATAAGAATTATGAAAAAGGCATTTCAACAAAATCAGAGAAATGTAATTTATATCATAGAATTGGCTAGAAGACAGGTGGGGGAGAATGTGAATTCATTAAAATTTCCAGCCTCCACTCCTCTGTTCTCTACCCACATCTTTTATGTTGGCTCAGACACGGTAAGGAGAGCAGCAGCGTTAAAACTCCGCAGGAGACCTCAACTGTTTTGTTTATTCATGTAGGATCAGTCGAGAATGGAACTGCTTGCACAGTTGATACTTTGGAAGCACAAAACCACAGTACAACGTGGTAAAAGAGGGGCGAAGCACAAGTGTGAGTTCACGACATTCCAACCTATTTCTTCCTTTTAAAATAAAATACTAGCAGTAGCCCCTGGAGAGGTATGCCTTCAACAAAGCCACTTCAAAATAACTTGAAAAACATGCAGAGGGGTGTGCAACACTGGTGATTTAGGATGCTGTCTGACATTTCCCTCTGACATCTCCTCCCAAGGAACCATCCATCACAGTGAAATACCAGCGAAGGAGAGAGATGACAAAAGGTGGTGCAGGCACATATCTGTGGCATGAGGTAGTGCTGCTGCTTGTTACAGAGACTAGCTGAGTTATAAGATCCAGAGATTTCCACCAACCTTGCCCCCACATGAGAAGAACGAGTGCAAGGTCAACTAAAAACAAGCAGAGATGGCCCCGGCGGCACAAAGTCACATGCTGGGGATGGACCCCAGCGCAGCAGAGCAGCTCAGCAGCCTCCTGCGCCAGCATCCCTGGGGGTGGATGGGGCAGTGTATCACCGGGGGGACTGGGGGAGGCAAGGTGGCCAAGAGCCAGTAACAAGATCCCTGCAGGGTGGGGATATGGGAAGAACATGGGCTGTTCTGGGACTGAGTGAATGAGGCATCTTCAGCTGTTCCCTCTCCACTTTTTCCCAGTGGAGAATCAAACCCACAAATGCTGCCGCTTCACTGACTGGGAGTATTTCTCCAGAGATCCCATGATTTTACAGGTGAGCTGATTCCATGGTTCTGCCACAGGAAGATATTCCTGCCAGCACATTGGAGGGAGTGGTGTGAATTATCCCTGTCACAATTGAGGGTAGGGACATATGATTAATAGAAACCAATTGCTCTGCTGAGTTGACCAAAAAGACAATGTTCCTCATTAAAAGCTCATTCCTCATTTTAGCAGTGTAACAACCAGTTCCCTGTATTGTCCTACAAGTGTTGTGCATCCCTGTAAAATACCACTTAATTCCCAGATAACTCAATCCACATCACAGGTAGTGGAAGGAGGTATTGGATGCAGGGAGAGCAGCTATGGAGTATTCTGCACAGACTCAGAAAAGGGAGCAGTAGGGCAACTGCCCCTGCACACACAACCTACACAATTGCCACTACGCTTTGTTGTTAGTGGTTGCCCCCTTCCCCTCACTGATCACCCAGGGGTTCTGTGCTGGACACAGAGAGTGTCCATGGACCCAGCACTGCAACAGTGTAATAGATCCACATGATCTGGGCAAAGATATAGACAAGGTAACTTCCCAAGATCTCTTCTGGGACTATATTCCCTGATTTTATGATGGCAAAACATGGCATGTCAACAGCACCACACCCACAACTGATCTAAAATATTTCAGAAAATGTATTATTTTAGCATTTACCTTCTTCTTCCACACAGTTTGAGATCTCAATTTACCTCATTCTCAGGGGTTTTGGTTTCCTTCCCATCACTGCCTTCAGCAGCAGCATCTTCCTCTTGGTCTTTTTCAGCTTTCTTCACCTTGTTCTTATCACTCTGTTTTTGCCTGGAGCCCTCAGATGCTTTGCTGTGCTTCTGTTCAGCTGCCTCCTCCCTGGCAGTGTCCTCGCTGTAAGAATGCCGGCGTTCCCTTAACTTTGCCTCTTCCTTTCTCTTAGATCTCCCAGGTAAATCCTGCAACTGCCTCTGAAACTTGTCAGATTTCGACTTAGAGGTTTTTCGGTAATAGTCATCTTCCCTGCTCTTGTAGCCAGATAAAGGGTGAAGGGAGCCAGGGGAACCACTCCTTAAATATTTTTCTCTGTGCCCTCTGCCTCCTTCAATCCGTTCATCCAAATCAAACTTGTCCAGCTGTCGGGAATAATGTTTCCTCTCATGTACCCACATGTCAGTCCTGTCCCTCTTCTCATCTCCATTCTCTCGCCATTCTCTGCTGTCTCTTTCCTCTTCCCGTCGAGAATACGGGGACTGATCCCACGACTCTCTCCCATTTCCCCAGTCGGTCCTGCCGGTCCCCATCGGGCTGTGGGGTGAACTGCAGGAAGTAAAGCTGGGAGTGTGGGATCGGGGCGACAGGGAGCGGCTTATGGGGCTTCGGGAGCGGGGCCTCTCTGTGCCATACCTGCTGCAGAGGGAAAAGGCAGCTGTAACTGGCTGACCCAGTGTGGTCTACCCAGTTCTTGTGCACTGGAAACACATAGGGACTGCCCGGACCTGAGGCCCCAGGCCTGCCACAGACATGCACTGCACAGCTGCAAACACAGTCAACAGGAGAAAAGGCAGTGGCATATCCACAGAGCTTAACTAAATCCCCACGGGTCTGTCAAGAATATATTCACTCATTCCCAAAAGCGTCTCACAGGGCTTTAGCATGAAAAGCTTACAGTATGTTAATACCTTTACAATGACCCTAGTGTCTGTACCGTTAATACTCACTCATCTAGGGCATCTCTGAGACAAAAGTGACAAAGGTCACCTGTTGAAACAGATGTTTCAGCACTTGATTCCTCTCCATTTCTGCTGAAAGGTCCAGAAGCCAGGCAGATCAGAAATACACCCAAATACATTGTAATGCGAACCCGCTGCTTCCCTCTAGGTCTTGTAGCACTCCCAGCCTTCACACTTTTCACTCAAAAGGATTCATTTGTGTATCCTCCACATGCCAGGTGTGTTTTCTGAGTCATTATCACCAGTAGGAAGGAGTTTATAACATGCACAGTTTCAATCTGATCACATCCTATAGGCCCTGCACCCGCTACTGTACCCACTTACATTTTTACTGTGATTTGAAGTGAAATCCAAATTAAGAAAGCAAATAAGAGAGGGAAGCACACAGATAATGCTTTTTCTACCTGTAGGTTTACTGACCAGGTCCCCTTCAAGCTCTGAAGAAACCTTACCTGTCCACTTCACGCAGCAGGTCCCTCTCCCTCTGCGAGTGGATGTCCTGGATGATAGCAGCCACGTTCTTACCTGGTTTCTAAACAGGACGAAGGCACTGATTAGCATGCTGCACTACTCTCCAAGCTAATACAGGTGATCTGTCCTTCAAGAAGCGGCATCCATGAGTCATTTAATCATGCTACTACCGAGAAACCGTTGCTGTCAGTGTTGTGGTTACAGTCTTTTCTGTGGCTGGTATCTCAATAACATGGTCAAAGCAGTAAAATGATACAGACGGAAAATTTGCTCCATTGCACTGTAGCACTGTCTCCTCCTGCTTGGCTGCTCTAACAGGCTCTGAAAACTGGCTTGTCCTTCCCTGATACACTCACCACAGAGTATTTTCTAGGAATTGGATGTAAGAGGGGACAAACCAGATATTGTTTTTCCTCATATCTGAATTAAATATGTACAGTAGCCTATCTCTGACCCTCTAGGAATGAACTGCCTTCTCTTCAGCTCTGAGTTTAGCTCCTTCTGGAGTACAGCTCTGAAAGACTATGTTTAGGCACAAGAGCTTCAGAAAAGCCAAGTACACGAAAGGTGTGCACAGGAAGTGCTGACTACTTGAGATTCAAGATCATGCACAAAAGATGCACTATTCCAGGCTGGAGTGCATGCAATTCGTCAAACACTTGGAGCATGCACCGCTGAGCAACATAATCATGCAGGAACTCAGAGCAGTCTGTAGTGGTAAATAGCTCATGCATAGTCTCCCTTCCACGTTGCACTTCTGTTGGTTTTTAACAAAGAGAATGGGCATTTGCTCCTGCAGAGAGAAAATAATTTCATGACCTGAAAAACTGCTACTGGAAAGACTGAAAATCTTCCTGAAGTCTAGGAAAACTCCTGCACTCTCCTGGGTAATTCCTCTTCTGCCTCTGTGTTAAGATGCACAGTCTCTGCCACGTTACATCTGAACCCCTCACTGTCCCACGCTAAGGCAGACCGCCCTGGTTTACGGACTTTTGGCAGCTCCCTTAAGTCTCCTGGACATGACAGAAAGAGACTTTTCCAAAGTCAGACTAAGTTGTCTGAGTTACTTGTTTTTCGTCAAGGCTCGTAAAAGGCCCCTTAACATCTTAACACGGAACATTATGGAGTTATTTTATAAAATAACTTTGTGCAGTGTTAGATAATACAGCATGAAGCTTTCCAGATCTACACTGCCAGTTCCAGTCCGAATCTCCATGAAAAAAAATACTCTCCTAGCATTACACCTAAGCCCATAAATATGCTCGCAAGAACACTGATTTTTGGACATGACTCAGGTGTTCACATCAGGAGTGTCACACACGCTACAGACACGGGTCCTGAACCTATGTAAAAAGAAGAAAACAGATCTTGCTTTTTAATTTAGGTCATTCACAAGAAAGAAAGAAAATCAGTGTGGTGTTTAGCCCTGCCATCACAGCTTGGCACAGAGATGGATCAAGCATGCAAGCAGGGCAAAGCATTGCTTCAGGCTTAATGCCTGACTAAAAGGATAGGAGCGTCTTATTTTTGCTGACATGCTGCATCCTACACATGGCTGTGCTTCAGACCTTGGTGAGACCAAGCGATGTGGGGAGCCCGCCCAGAAGGAAGCTCAGAAGGGATTTTTGAAATAACGGTATGAGGACCAGAGAAAATGAGATCTCTTCCCAGAGTTAAAATTTAGAACAAGAGCAAGCAGCTAAGTATAACAGATCATTAACATACATTCATTAATTTGTATTTCTTCATTTCTTTTTCTATAATTATAGAATCATAGAATCACA